ATATACAAGATCCCTGCCAGGAACTCAAACATAACAATCATATCGCTTGAGAAGACCTGAATTCATGCTGAATGCTAAAATGAAAAGTGCAGCAAGGTTATGGACGTAAGCAAACGAGGCCACGTTCACGCATGGCGGGTAAGAATTTGGAAGCTGCATCTAAAAACAATAGCAATCTTCACTTGCAAAAACAACAAAAAGGCAATTGTGTGCAAAACAGGAATTGTTAAAAAGCCGGGAAGCTAATAAGTATCCACACAAGGAGGACAGGACAGTATGGATGAAGATGGTGACGGTGGGGACAGACAAAAGAAACATTTGGAAACTCTAAAATCATTTAGAATCTACGTTCAGGATGTGAGGGATGTGAATATGGAAGAACAGAGAGGATGTCCAAATATCTAGTGATAGTGAGTAATACCAACGACTGAGAAGTAGGTTGGGCAAGGGGATTTTGTTTTATAGGATGCTGGACCAGAGATACCTATTAAGTATCCCAAGATAAGTGTTTGTATTGGCTGTTTTTCTGTTGTTGTGATAAACACCAGGCCAATGCAACTAACAGAGGAAGAGTTAATCTGGGTTTATGGCCCCAGAGATTAACAGTCCATGAAGGCAGAGCAAAGACATGGTGGCGGCTGAAAGAAGCTGAGGACTCACCCTGACCCACGAGCAGGGAGCAGAGAGAGCACACCAGGAATGGCGAGTCTTCCCTACTGACACATTTCGTCCTGCAAGGCCATACCTGCCAACCAGCATCGCCAACCGGGGATCCAGTGTTCAGACGGCACAGGATTACAGGGACATCTCATTCAAGCCAGCACAGCACTTGAACATGCATTCAAGAGTGGAACTAGCTCAGCAGAGGCCTTTACAGAGACAAACACATGCCTGGGGCTGGACACTCAGAGTTGTAACAGACGACAGTATGGGCAGGTGAGATCATTCTGGAGAGGGCTAGGACACAGGACTCTCTCCTCATGCTTGAAGGAAGGGTCACAGAGGACAAGAAGGAGAGTGACAGGGAAGGACAGAGGGAAGGAGAAGCAGGAGTTTGGAGGCAGAGACAAAGGGTCAAATGTGTCTAGCTGAGGTAAGGGAGGACATGTGAGACTGTAAGGCCAGGCAGTACAGGTAAAAGGGAAACTGAGTCAGTGCATGTATGGAAGAAAAATAAATTGCCAGTGCTAGATATTGGCACAGACCTATCATCGCAGCACTCGGGAGGCTGAGGCAGTGAGATCCTAAATTCATAGCCAGCCTGGGCCACATAGCAAGATGCCATCAAGCTGAAGGTTGGGGTTGGAGAAGAAGGGAAAAGAAGGAGGGAGAAATAACATGCATCGAAACTGGGAGGGAGGAGGGAAATGGTCCTTTTACAGATGACATGATCTTTTATAGAAGACCAGAATGGTTACACCCAAACACAGAAAAAGTATTAAAACCATAAAACATCTTCAGCAAAGCTGCTAGACAGGAAAAGAATTAACAAAGCAAACTCCACTTCCACATACAGATTAAACGATGCATAAAGGAAATAAGACATCAATCACATAGGAAGATCAAAAAGAATAAATATTTAGACAGGTGAGGGATGCATTCACTAAAAACCTCAAAACAGACAGGAAGACATCATATGTTCATGTATTGAAAGACAACACTGTTAAAATGGCCAGAACACAAAGCAGTCTACCAATCCCTGTCAAAATCGCAATGGCACTTTTTGCAAAGATAGGAAAAAGCCACCTCAGAGTCAATATGAAATCTCAAATAACCTAAATGGTCAAAATAACCTAGAAAAGAAACAAAGTTGGAAGCTTCTCGCTTTGTAATTTTACAACTTCTTGCAAGGCTACAGTAATCAAAACATGGTATACAGATATATATGCATATACATGAAACAGGACATAAAACCTAGAAATAAAGTTCATTTTAAATGGTCAAAATATCGTCAACAAAAGTCCCAAGACAACACAGCAAAGAAAGAATACTTTGCTATGAATGGTGCCAGCCCAGATACCCACATGCAAAACACTGAGGCTGTACTTAGTATATAACATATACAAAATTAAACATACGGGCCTAAAGGTGACCTAAAACTATGAAGCTCCTAGACGCAAACATGGAGGAAAGCTTAATGCCATTGGATTTGGCAACAATTTCTTGGATGTGATACTAGAAGCTCAGGCAAGGGCTGAGGAGATGACTCAGTTGGTAATATGCAAGCATGAGGACCTAAGTATGGAACCCTAGCACTCACGCGAAACACCATGGTGACACTGCAACCCTCGCTCTGAGAGGCAGACACAGAGATAACCAGAACCTGCTGGCCAGCTAGTGTGCCCAATCAGTGAGCTCTGGAGTTGATGAATAACTGTCCCGAAAATACTGTGAGGGGCAATTACGGAAGACACCCAATACTGACTTCTGACCAACACACAATTGCAGACACATTCACCACCCACACAAATCCACCCAAAACACAGGCAACAAAAGCAAAGACAGACAAATGAGACTTCAACTTTAAAAACTTCTGGACACCCAAAGACACAACAAATTGCAAGGCCAACATATACAACGAGGAAAAAAAAAACTGTGCATCATTTCCTAAGGAGTTAATAGCTGGAATATATAATAGAGAATTCATACAGCTCAACAACAAAGCCAAGGTAAGAACTGAGCAGAGAGCTCCAACAGACTTTTCTCCAAAGAAGAAAAAAAGGGGGCCAAGTGAAAAATATACTCTGTACTTTTAGAAAAACGAACATCAATACCACAACACACCTCACATTCATTGCAACTAAACAGAAGTTAATGCAGATGCAGAGAAACTGGAACGATTTTGCACCACTGGTAGTACTGTAAAAGCTGCTACAAACACAACTTGAAGGTTCCTTAAAAGACTAACAATAGCACTTCCTACCATATAGCCCAGCAGCCCTTCTTCTAGGTATGCCTCTAAAAGAAGTGCAAGAGAATCTAAGAGGTATTTGCTCTCCCAAGTTCATTGCAACATTATTCACAACGGCCAGCAGGCAGAAGCAACCCAAATCTCCACTGATAAATGAGCCAAGTATGATATACACATGCAGAGTATTATTAATTGTTCAGCCTTTGAAAATAAGGCAATACCCCCCCAAAATCAAGCAACCCCACATTCTACAGTGTGGGTGAATATTAAGGATAGTTTATAAATGCAAAAAGCCAGTAGTCACAAAAGGGGGAACGCTGTGTGGCCCCACCTATACTGTAGGTCTCTATCAGCTGAACTCATGGGAAAATGAACAGCTTGGCTGCAGGAGTGAAGGGAAGAAGATGGGGACTGTTCAGTGGGTATAGTTTCAGTTTTGCAAGAACAGAGGAGCCCAGGAAATCTTTTGCACGACAACGTGAACGCACTTGACCACACGACCTACTGTACTGCATGTGCACCCATGAATGGTCAAGGTGGAAATCCTGTTTTCACTACGATTTGAAATAAAAGGGCCCATGAGGTGTCAGAGCACGCAGGTGAAGTGTGAGAGGGAGGAGAGCGAGCCCTGGAGCCGCATCTGTAGCCAGAATCTTGGATACTTCAAGGGTGGAGACGGAGTGCATGAGGCCTTCAGTCAAGCTGCTCCAACCCTCTTTCAGAGTGAGGCCTCTTCGTGCTGGAGAACTGAAGGGCCTTTTAAAGAGTCTTAAGACTTCAAGGAGGACCTCTGAAGATACAGTGAACTCTTCAGATCTTCACCTGGTGGGGACAGGGGAGCCCCCCCCCCAATTGACCAGCATCAGTGTGCCTTAGGGATCCTGGCTTCTCTGAGCACAAGGTCAGAAACAGAGGACAGGTCTGCTGACTCTTTTCTTGCCTTTCCAATGCTAAGCCATGCGGACACTAGCTAACAAAGCTTGGTGCTTAGCTCTGAGAATACTTGCAGAGAAGGAACCACTCTGGTGCAAAATATCAGGCCACACACTCCAGTGTCAAGTTTTTTGTCAGCAGCAAGCTGAGACCACTCATCAAAGTATCAAGTGTGGATCTCCTTTCCAATTCCTAACGCCTCTCTGTTCAGCAAGGCAATATTGAATACGTCTGGGTTTCTGCATTGGTACACATAAGATGTGGCACTTGGTCACTTATAAAAACTACAATTACATTAGCTGTCTTAAATTTTTATGTTTTTTTTAAAGATTTTTAACTTTTTTTAGTTTTTATGATTTTTATACAAAAAAATTGTTTATGTAAATCTTAATACACAAAGCCCAAATAGAAGACCTGGCACCTTCTTCTCCTGCCATGTCTGAAGGCTGATAGAACACATGATTATACTGAATTCCTTATTCCAACACAAAAGGTGCTAACCTATGACCTCATTTAAATTAACCCATCTACTGAAATTCATGAAGGTAGTCACAGGGGATGGAGAAAGCAGAGCCAATAAGTATTCAGCAGCCAGGGGATAACAGATAGTGTCCATAGTAAGAAAAACTGGGCAATAATCCCATGGAGATGTATGAACTATAATTTCAATTTACTGCTTACTTGGGAGAGGACTTTATTTTGTCCAGAATGGGTCCTGATCTCTTCAATAACAAATAAAGTGAATAAAAACTGCTTTCTTAGCTGGGCATTGGTGGCTCACGCCTTTAATCCCAGCACTGGGGAGGCAGAGGCAGGCGGATCTCTGAGTTCAAGACCAGCCTGGTCTACAAAAGCTAGTTCCAGGACAGCCTCCAAAGCCAAAGAAACCCTGTCTCAGAAAATGGAAAAAAAAAATTGCTTTCTTTCCAACCTCATTAACCACATGTATTAACGTGTGTTTCATCAATAACTATACAGTTTCATATGGTTAATTGTATAGGACAGGTTACAAGAAGCATTTGCCTTTGTTTTTTATTTGAGTAACTTTGTTTAACCACCGTGTTTCATAGAGACGTGCAGCTGATCAAACGTCTAACACAGGCCCTTTGGCTCTTCTGTAGTTGGGTGCAGATGGGGTAGGACTATCAGTATTTACCAGTGCTTTCCATAGAGCCAGTGACCTCCCCATGTCAGCAAACAGAGCCCAGCTGTCGTCTTCTTCCAATGATTTCGCAGTGTTTTAAAGAATGCAGTCATCTTCTCCTGCAGATTCCACAGGCAGGAAGAGAAAAGAAAATTACTCAAGATAACCATGGAGCATCCTATTATTCATTCCTCTATGGTCCTCCCCACCCCTTCTTCCTTTTCTCATTTTCTCTGCCACTCCTGCTGTGGATCTTCCCGTCTCTCCCTGTCTGGTCCCATCACAGCATCTTCCTCTCTCCCGTCTCTCTCATCACAGCATCTTCCTGTCCCCTCACCAACCTTCTTTTCCTTTATTCACGCACTTCCACCCTGACTCTCCTTCTTTCTTATCCAGCCGTCTTTCCCTGTCCAGTGGAGGAAGTGGAGGAGATCCCCAGGCTTCCTCTGTCCCCCTACTGTTCCACTTCACCGCTACTGAGTATTTTCCCATTACACATGAGGGATCCAAAACACCAGCAACAGCTTATTCAAACCAGAAGAGAACGCCAGGTCTTCAATACGAAAATTAGCAGAGAACATACATTCAAATCTCAGTGCACATGGCTAAGTAAAAACTGCTCAACTTACTAATCAAAGACATGCAAATTACAGAGAGCTATTATTATTCGTATATAAAATTACTTTTAAATTATCATATTCACTGATAACAAAATACAACAAGAAGGATACTCTTGCCTACTCCTTAAGGAATTTCGTTTGTTTGTTTTGTTTTTTAAAACAGGGATTTTCTGTGTAGCTCTGGAGCCTATCCTGGCACTCGCTCTGTAGACAAGGCTGGCCTTGAACTCACAGAGATCCACCTGCCTCTGCCTCCCGAGTGCTGGGATTAAAGGCATAGGCTACCAACGCCTGGCTCAATTCATTTTTTTTTTTTTTTTTTGGTTTTTATGAGACACGGTTTCTCTGTATTGTTTTCGAGGCTGTCGGTCCAGCCCAGCCTCGAACTCACAGAGATCCGCCTGCCTCTGCCTCCCGAGTGCTGGGATTAAAGGCGTGCGCCACCACTGCCAGGCTCAATTCAATTTTTTTAATGGAGAATTTTCACAGATGTAGAAAAAAAAAAACAACTCAAAATACAATATAAGTAAAATTGGCAGGGTAAAAGGCATCTATAACCAGTGTTATACCAATTATGTTCAAATAGGACTATCAATCAAAATTCCAATAAACAAAAGCAGAAGTTTGATATAATTCCCTCTATATGCAATGTTAAGCTTTCTGAAATACCTTACAGATGAAGCTTATTTCTTCCTTTAACTTCCCTTGGTTAAAATCCCTCCCCTAGGAAGGAACATCCACACTGCAGACATCAATGAAGCCATCCAGGTTAGTACAGAAAAAGTCCCAAAGGCCCTTGTGGTTATTGACTTCTCTCCATCTGGCCCTAAACACTCACTCACTCAAGAGGTCTTTGACAGACAGCACCTGCCCTGTTAAGAGCAAGGGCAGGGAAGAGTGAGGTCTCTCTCTCCGATGCTCACAATCATTAAAGCCCTAAGCGCAGCACAACCACTAGCAAAGCTGCAGCTCAGTAAGACAAATGTTGAGGGATGGGTTCACGGGTCCCCAAGCACGGGCCTACCTGGAGGGACCCGACAGCACCCTACAGACTCGGAGGAGTCACAAAGTGAAGGAGTTGGGAATGTGCTATGGCCTGAGCATTTGTGTTTCCCAACTTGTAAGTGGCTGTCCTAATTCCAACAGAACTGCTTTTAGGATGTAGAAATAATGGGTCCATAAGGGTGTTGTCTCCATGAAGAGGATGAGCACCTCTCTAAGAAGGGACCATCTGAAGATACAGCAACAAGACAGCCATTTGCAAACTAAAAGGGGTATATCAAACTTCCAGTTTGCACATTGTGAGAAATAAATTTTTATTATTTAAGACACCCCAATTATAGCAACCTGAGAAAAGTGTATGTCTGTGCAAGTGAGTGTATAAAGGCTACACACAAAATGCATACATTCGACGTGCACACACACAAAGAAGTGTATGTGTGCGAGTGTGTGGATAAAGGCTACATACAAAATGTATACATACAATGTGCACACACACACACAGTATATGTGTCTATGTGAGTGAGTGTATAAAGGCTACACACAAAATGCATACATTCGACGTGCACACACACAAAGAAGTGTTATGTGTCTGTGCGAGTGTGTGGATAAAGGCTACATACAAAATGTATACATACAACGTGCACACACACACACACACACACACGCCCGCACACACACACACACATATATATAATTATGTTCTGAAAAACATAGGAAGGTAGTAGACTGAAGTAATTTCTCTCCTCATCCATAACTAAAACTAAGACTCCTGTAACAAAACACCTTAACAAACAAAAAAGGGACATAAATATATTTAATGTTTTACCTGACACAAAATCTTCAGAAATAAAACCCAGCGTATGTTAAGTTTGATGAAGAGTAGAAAGTTGTACAGAAACATGACAGAACAAGGTGCTATTACTTATACACAATAATCAGCAAGGTCTTATCTGTTCAAGTCCTCCTGTGTCCCCTCACCTTAAGAAATAAAAGTGCTCATTTCCTGCATGTGTAAGACAGGCACCTCTAACATGAGGGCCTTATACAGGAAGTCCTATTCAGGTTAGAACTTCCTGCTTCTACTGTTTCCTCAACTGCCAATGTGCTACTCTGGGGATTAACGTGCCCTAAATTAAGTAAGTGTAAGTACAGGACAGCTTCTAGAACACTGGCTCTCAACCTTTAGGGTCCTTATTAAACCTTATTCAATGCACAAAATTTGCTGGAAATGTATATTCCTGGTTATTACCTCCTTTCTCCCAAAGCCCCTTTTGTTTCAGAACTGAGAAATCATCTCATTTTTAGTTAGTTAACAGTTACTACCATAGTTATAATGTAGGTAGTAAACATGGCAGACTTTGAGAAACAGTAGTTTAAAGATAAAAGATGAGCCGAGCATTGGTGGCACTGGGGAGGCAGAGTTAGTTAGAGGCCAGCCTGGTCTACAGAGTGAGCTCCAGGACAGCCTCCAAAACAGAAACCCTGTCTCGAGAAAAAAAAAAACCATAATAAAATAAAAGATGAGGGTGTCAGGAAGATTTGAAAATACTTTGAGTCCACACTAAGGGATATTATGAAGACAATGAAAAATAAAAGAGAGAGAAAACTTGAGATTTCTAGCAGATAAATGGCATAATCATATTTGAGCTGCAGAATATAAAACAGACTGATAGAACCTGAAAGTAAAGGTGGGAAAGCCATGGCGGGCGGGGCGCACAATTTCTAGGCAGCTAAAGGGAGGGAACAAGAGTCAACAAAGGACTTGGAGGTCTTGGTCTGGCAGTGCTTGGTGAAGAACTGACTGCAGGGGGTAAGAGACGAGGAGACAAGCCAGGTTTTGAGCTTGGGCAGCAGATCAGAACGTGATTTCAGGCTCTGACTGATATTGCGGGCTTGTGGGAAAACAGAGAGAGCAGCTAAAGAGACCCTAGCCTGTTACACCTGCCTGGCCCAAACAGATGTCTGGACTTGGCTGTTTGGAAACAGGAGCAACTGAAAACAGCTGCAGAACTGCGGTCCACTCCTCTGAAGGTAGAGTAGGAGGGTTGCTAAAAAAGACCCAAGTGGAGCGTGGAAGAGCGCCAGTTAAGTTGAGGGCACTCTGAGTGGGCTGTCTTTCTAAAAGCCACCCCTACCCCATGCAACGCCCCCCCCCTTTTTTTTTTGGTCATCAATGATTCACGTATTATTAAAAGACGAGGGAAATATACAGGTACCCTAGTGTGCAAAGAACTAAATCCTAGCTTCTGTCACTTAAAGTTAGTGAGACCCTGGGGAAGTCAATTAACTTCTTCACTAGTAAAACGAGGAAACACCATCTGCCCCGATTACTTAGTTTAGCTGCGAAGGTCAGCTACGATGGGGTTTCGTGAATAAAATCTGTAATTCCCGTATTTAGGCTGTCTTCACAAATGCGTACTACGTGGACTGTATCTTATTTCCTACTCGGTGGCCAGAATTTTCATTCTCATTAACATCAGTTAAAAAAATAATCTCCATTTTGCTGGGCGTTGGTGGTGCGCACCTTTAATCCCAGCACTCGGGAGGCAGAGGCAGGCGGATCTCTGTGATTTCGAGGCCAGCCTGGTCTACAGAGCGAATGCCAGGACAGCCTCCAAATCCACACAGAGAAACCCTGTCTCGAAAAACCAAAAGGAAAAAAATCTCTCCCCTTTATGTCTAAATTAGCAGTTTTCCCTTTGAAGCAGGCTGTCCCCCAACCCCATGGGCTCCCAAATTCTAACTGCAGCCTCTCCCCTGACAACTGGAAGGTGAAGATTTTGCTCACTAAAGCAGAGCTCTAGCCATCTCCACTAACAGAGCCTAAGCAAATGGAATGAATGAATGAACCGACCCACCCATCAGACGCTATCGATTCCATTTCTGCCCCGGGGTAGCCCCCACAGTCCAAGGGGGGAGTGGGGGTGCCCACAGACCAGGATCCGCTCTGGGACTCGAACCGGCGCACACACCCACCCGACCCGCAGGGACCCCCCGGCAGCGCGCGCGCCTCGCCCGCCCGGCCCGGAACCCTCCTCCCGCCACGCCGCGGCCGATCCCCGGGACAACCCTGCTCGGGCCAGCAAGTCCGCGGCTACGCCCCACACCCCGGCCACCCACACACACACAGCACACACCCGCAGCGGCCCGCCACCGCTCCCCGAGCTCACCGCGGTCCGCCGCTCGGCGCCTGGCCCTTCCTGTGTGCTCTCGCGAAACTCTTCCCCCTCTTTAAGGGGGAAACGGCTCCTGCCGCCCTCGGGTTCCGACGCGGGGCGGCGCCGGGGCCGGGAGGGGTCGAGCCCTCCCTCCGCTTGCTCTCACTTTACCCGGCCTTCCCACCCCCACCCCACCCCACCCCATCTATCCATTCGCCTATCGCCGGCCCTTCGTTTCCGGAAAGTTCACAGTAAATGACAATAAATGGCACAAACAGGTTTCGCGATTTGGAAGGAAAGCAGAACGTCACTGCGGGAGCGAGACAGGGTTAGAGTGGTGGACGACGCGAAGAGAGTAAAACCGGTTGACGGGGAGTCTGGCGAGGTGGGGGGGGGGGGGGGAGAAACGACTGTGTTACGTTAAAAAGCGAGCGTTTGCGCTCCCCGAGAAGATTGCTGAGCTGAAGATAAGGGGCAGATGCAGGGGAGTTCCCTGCTTTCCCTCTATTTGCCTTAGACCAAGGCAGCTACAAAAGACTTTATATCTGCATGGCCGTTGTTGTCTTGAAATGGGAATCACTGTTGTGGTTTACTCATCCAGGATCATCACGAGGTCCGACCCACTCACATGTGACCCCTAGTAGCCTACCTCTTCCACAGCCCACACAAGCAAGCGATGGTTGCTGGGGCCAGAGGGTCTGAGGAGTGTTGAGGAGACGACTTCTTTGGTGGTGTTGCCTTCTGGGTGCTGTCCATTTTCCTGTAGGCAACCTTTCACCCGTGATTCACAAATCTTTTCTTTGGGGTCTGTATTTGTCACCCCATCTGGAGAGAATGGGCATTCGTTTGCTGCCGTCTCCCTAGGGAAAGTCAACAGACAGTGAATTTATTCTAGGCCAAATAGGAATGGCCACAGTTAAGACAGATTCGAGCTGCCCTGAATGGCATGTTCCACCATGGAAAGAAGTTAGTTGAACATTTATAATCGCAGAATAAAGTCACAATTTAGGATGTCAGGTCACAGCAAAGCAGAGAAATCTCTCCCATGAGTTTCTTCAGATGCTGTGTGATGATCTTCCTAGATTTGGGTAGGCAGAAGCTTACAGTTACACCATTTCTAACGTTTTACCTAGCAGTCATAAAGATAGGCTAGGTAGAGGGCTTGGTGACAAATGGCTATTAAAGCTAAGACAATGACTTTAGCTATCCATCTGCAACATCCCATCTCTCTGTTGTGAAGTCCTAGCTGGCCAATTGGTCTGCAGACTCTTGAACAACTAAGTATCTTTTGTTTTTACTCTACAGACAACAAAGACTAACCACTGAAGACAGTTTTAGGTCTTTGTCAGCATTTTTTAAGGAACCAATCTCTATCTTCCCCTAAACTGCTACTAATAAAAAAATCAACTCCCCCTTTTATCACCTCTCTAAATGCTATTATTCTTTGCTGCACAAGCTATCTATGCCAGAGATCTGGTACTGCTTTGAGCTTTCTCCTGGTGTTCAAATGTTAATAATTATGCTTGTTTCTCCTTGCTTTTTCCTTTCTAAGGACAGAGAAATTATATTCCTTTTCCTTCGGAAACATTGTGGACATCCATTCAGTGGGTTGGATTTGATCAGCAGAGATGTGGGATCTGCTTTCCATTTTACATACATCTCTGCTTCGTGGACAGCCGACTTCCAGACAGTTTGCATTCTGTCCCAACAACCCCATGCTGGTGTGGGGATCAAGCCAAGCCACACAACTTTCTTCTCTTCTTCCATCTTTCTGCCAATGGGCGTCTGTTGAGAGGTGTGTGATGGGCCTCGTGGAAAGCTCTGAGGCTGGGCTCATGCTTAGTGTCCTTGAAAGCGCCCACCCCCTCGTGCCCAGACTTGCTCTCTACTCTCCCAAGTCCTGTCTTTTTTTCCTCTATAACTTAGATTACATTTGAATGTTTGAAGAGCAATGAAAACATCCAACGAGGTTACATACAATAAAGCATATTCCATGTCCAAATTCTCACTGGGACAGTGTGAACTTCCTACCACTCTCTCCACTTGTAAATTAGAAGATGAAAGCATATCATATTTTTATAAAATCCCTTAGAGCAGCCGGGCGTTGGTGGCACATGCCTTTAATCGCAGCACTCGGGAGGCAGAGGCAGGTGAATCTCTGTGAGTTCAAAGCCCATCTGGTCTACAGAGTGAGTTCCAGGACAGACTCCTTAGAGTCTAAAATATTTTAATACTGAGGGAGTCATTACTTCCAAACTTCTTTCCCAACTACGTAAACTATATTTGGAAATGGGCTCATGTAACTGCTTGACTGCAAGCTAGAAAAACCTGAAATTTGTGGGATTGCCCATATGCTTAGATATTGGGAACAGGTGAACTTTGATACATTTTTTCAATCAAAACAAAATTTTTAAAAGCCTTAAAAATAATTTTATGTGGTGTGTGTGTGTGTGTGTGTGTGTGTGTGTGTGTGTATCTGTGTGTCCTCTTTTAGGGATTATGTCTTGTTCTAGCTCTTATATGTGAAGGGAACCCTACATTCATTTCTGGGTTTAGGACCTCTGAAGACCAGAATCCAATATTGCTGCCAAATGGCCATCCCATGTAAGTGTGATTTAACCACATGGCTATCCCATGTGAGTGTGAACCTTGATCTCATGGAATGTTCTAACACTCTGATTCTTTTTGTTGTTGCTGTTGTTTGCAGTTTTTTGTTTGTTTGCTTTTTGATACAGGATTTCTCTGTATTGTTTTGGAGGCTGTCCTGGAACTCGCTCTGTAGACCAGGCTGGCCTTGAACTCACAGAGATCTGCCTGCCTCTGACTCAGGAGTACTAGGATTAAAGGTGTGTGCCACTAACGCCCGGCTATTCCAACACTCTGAAGTTTGCCTGTGATTCTCTCCAAGAATCAGAAAGAATGTAACCTGTAGGGGGTCCACAGAGATGGCTCTATTTCATCTTGGTTTAAGGTCAGAGAGTTCAAAACTATCCTTACTCTCCCAAGGTTAGAGTCATAGGACCTAAAGTTATAAGGCATAGCTACTGTAGGATGTTTGGTCTTAGTCATGGATGTCTTATCTAAATAACAAAGGTCTGAGGTATGTTTACTCTTAACCAGCAAGGCCAGATAAGGAGATGGTATGGTTACCAAATGTTTGAAGAATTAAGGAAGACAATCTGTTTCTTCCTTGTATCATGATAAAGAAGTCTTTTGCTATTTCCCCCTTTTTGGTGTGGGCATATTAGAATGTTGAAGAATAAACTGGATTGCCATCCTGATTCTATTCTCCGTTTCTGTTTTTTCTTTAGCACCTTTACCTGCAGTTTCTCCATCCATACTCCCCTCACAGGCAGGAACACAGGTTAAATACAGACTGGCACCACAAAGATGGGCAGTAACCCTGCAGACCCATTTTAGACTTTTGGTTTCCAGAACTGTGCTTTAAACTACTGAGTGCAGAGCAATTTGCTAAGCAGTCACAAGAGATTAGCATGCATTGTCTTGGAATATGTTTCTTCAGGGATCCAAGCTGGACCAACTTGATTTGCACTTTCAGTAGGTAACTATGATAGTTAATATTCATGTTTTGTGTTGTGCGTGTGTAAGGCCATCTGTGGGTTCCTGCACACAGTTCCCAGCACAGAGCTACAGCGTCTCCATGCCCCTTCTCTGTTCGTCCCCTGCAAACTCATGTTAAGGTTAATTGGCATTTCGCCACCAGGTTGGGATGGGGAGAAGAGATGACACCTCATGAGGCCAGCCCTCATCAATGGATTGGTGCCATTATCCAGGGGCAGGCTCCTGCTGGCCAGATGTGTGCTAGGACTGATTTTTCTCCTCATGAGTGTTTGCCTATCCTACTACCCAAAGACTCACACCAGCTGGACTTCCCGTTTTCCAGAACCATGACCTGAGTAAGCAACTCTTTTTATTTTTTATCATTTATAGCTGTGATACTCTGCCTAGTCACAGAAAATAAATTAAAGATACCATCATGCCCATACCCTCTATGTAGGCTTCCCTTGTAGCTACATGATGTTTGATGTGACCCTTTCTCAAACAAGGGTAATGTTTCTAGTCTGCATCACTCTAGGTATCAGTCGTGGTACTTTCTAAGAACAAAAACATCAGAGATAATGAAAGAATATATATGTACATATATACACATATACACATATACACATATATACATATATATATATATCTGAAGCCTATGACCAGACAAACATGAACACGTGTAATCTTTTTGAGTACTCACCTGCAGGTAGATATGAAGGTTGGGTTTGGAGACCTCTATCAATTCTACTCCACCCCAAGCCCTGTTTCACCAACATGTAGCTTACAGAATCACCCTAGCACTAGCCAGCCTTTCACGGTCTGCCGCAGCCCACGAGACAGTGACTCAGCCCCCAAGTCCTTTGCTACTCAAGGACCAAAGACTAACCCCTTTTACGGTTGTGGAAATCCTTATAGGCTTCTACAACCTGCCCCCAAGGATTACATGCGCCAGGATAGCCATGAATGTAGCCTAACAGAAGCTTAACTAAAATGTGATTTTTGTCTGATATGTTTATAACTTAATTATGCGGTTCCTAAGTATAAACCTTGTAAATGACAATGTTGTGTCACAGTATCCATAGTTAGACACACCTGGTAGAGCTTCCCCTGGAACAAAATGAGACCCTGCGGTGGTAGAGACAGGCGTCTGACATGATTAGGCACCTGGGGCAGCACCTTGGGCACAAACCCCAGGTTCAGGCGCACACCCATGCCACAGAAAAGGCAGAAGAGACATGGAGACGCTGTAGGAGGCTTGGCGCATCTGGATACTCTGATCAGTATCCAGTCACTGAGAGACGTTCCTGAAGAGCAGAAAAAGTACTCCTTAGAAGCTGCTGGAAGCTGCCCCTGCCTTCAGCACTTGCCTGGAATCTTTGTAATGGAACATTTTGCACTGTCAAAGATAGAGACTAGAATCTCTTTGCACACTGCCACAAAGGAACTCTCTATATAACAGGAAATAAACTACAAGTTGAAAGTACGAGCTTCTGTTGTCTGTACAGTCAATCTGTGTTCTCTTGAGGATACAGAAGAACTATGATATGGGAATATTGAAGATATCCAGCAGGTCCCAGAAACAGAAGA